GGCGAACATGGCTAAAGTAGAGTGGGTAAGAGCCATAGAAGTTGAAGTCACACGCACACCAAGTTATGAAAATGGTCATAGAAGCATTACTAGTAGCGATAAAATCTGGAAACCATTCAGACATTTATCAACAGTATAATGAATAAATTATAACACACTTACATCATGGAATTCTACATTGAAATGAAAAAAAAAAAAAAACAACTATAGGTACTCTAAATGGATGGGTACCATTTAGAGGATGAGTACCACAATGTTGAGTAAAGGAGGCCAAATGTTAGAGAATAAAAACTGCATGATTTCATTTATAGAAATTCTAATATATAACAAAACTAATATATATGTCAGTAAGACAGATTAGTAATTTCCTTCAGGAGGACGAAGATGTGTGTGATTGGAAAAGAGGCACAAAGAGTGTTTCAGGAGGACTGAGTGGAGGTAATACAGTATGATCACTTTGTGATAATTCACTTAGCATTAGCATACATTTCGGTATGTACATTTATTTCCATTAAAAAAATTAACAATAGCAAATGTAAGATCTTGAGACAGCAAGTACAGATAATTCTTTCAAAAAGTTTTACTATAAGGACATCAGAGAAATTGGGGAGGCTGAAGGGTTATTTTACAGAAGGAAGAAATGACTGATTTAGAAACTTCATTTATTCATATTTACCACTGATGCGAAATACCAGTTGTATTATTTACTTAATAGGTTTTCTTTACATCAGTTCATTTTCAATTTAAATTTATTTCTAAACCAAACTTCATGTTAGACTGTAAATACCACTTGCCATAATAGAAATAACTGTAAAATCACAAGGAAAACAAAGTCATTCATTAAACTATTTTAAAACGTAAAGACAATTGAATGCAAATAAAAACCAATCTCATTGAGCTATAATAAAATGAGCATCTGAAAATAAGTTCCTCACTCAGAAAACTGTTACTAATCAGTCAGGGAAAAGGGGTATTCTGGTCGTTTCCATTTAATAATCCCCACCTCTGCTTACATTTCCCTTATCATCTTCGCCTTTACACGTAAATCCATATTGTGTTCAACAGAGGAAAACGAGAACAACAGCCTATCTCTTGATGACAACAGGATGCTGACTTGTCCAGCACTTGAGGTTGTCCCCAGTCCCATGTCTTTGTGGTCTGGAGAGAAGCTGGGGTTGGGAAAAAGCTGCTGACTGAAAAGAACACTGCTTCCTCCCCTCTTCTTGGAAAATACTGTTGTGTACATCAGGGTGCAGGTAGAAGGAGGTGCTACTCGGCTGTGGTTCCAGGAACCCTGCCTGAAACCAGGCAAAGATAAGAGGCTGTCCAAGGGAGTCCCAACTGTCACTAGGGCCCCAAATCATCTGCCTTGGGGTTCATGTATTAAAACACATTGCTCTTACAACAATGGAGGCAATATTTTCCAAAATAAAAATTAGGGTCCCTGATCTTTCCACAAGATAGACTACTTAAAGATAAGCGCTTCTCAGCAAACCCAGAAATCACGATGTCATACATAAGACGTTTATTTATTGTCCACAAATTTAGCTTTTTTAAGAAAAAAAAAAGCAACACTAGTGCTAAGCAATTGGGATATGAAAATTCATAGACATAATTGCTACTGTCAAGGTAAGTGTGCCAGATAAAATTATAGAATGCACAGTTAAATTTGAATTTCAGATATACATGGATTTTTTTATATGTCCCAAATATTGGATTAAATATACTAAAAATGTATCTGTTGCTCTGAAATTCAAATTTCTGGGTGTCCTATGTTATTATTTGCTAAATCTGCCAACAACCTCAAAGGGTTTTCAAACAACTGAAGAACAAAATCAATTAAAATACAGTGAGAATCTGAGAAGTATCAGGGCAAAAAGACTGATCTCAGGATGCTGGTGTATGCTGAACAAATATCCAACTTAGTAAAGATATCTGGGAACTGGTAACACGGTAACTGAGTCTTAAGCTAAGGATGTATACGCTATACTACAAATTAACTTCAGAATTCAATCACACACCATCATTATTTATAATTTAAGTTTTTGATGAACATGGGTTTTATCTGCAGAACTAAATTCTAAATTCTTTGAAAATACAGGCCATCTCTTTGTGTCCCCACAACACTGGCAGGAATACTTTAGGCATGTAGTAAGTTATTGCACAAATTGATTCAAATAGTTTTATCCTCCCAAAGAGTAAAAATATTATGTTCAGTGAAAAAAAAATTTTTTTTTGAGATGCAGTCTTGCTCCATCACCCAGGCTGGAGTGCAATGGCACAATCATAGCTCACTACAACCTTGAACTACTGGGCTCAAGCAATCCTCCTGCCTCAGCCTCTTAAGTCACTAGGACTATAAGCCAGCACCACCACATTCAAATGCTTTTTTAATGAATTTTTGCTGAGCAGCAGCCCCAGCAAGAGCAACAAAACCTCCCAACTTATGGCATTTGGTTATATTTCCCAGGCAGGTCTTGAACTCATGGTCTCAACCAATCTTCCTCCCTCCTCAACCTCCTAAAGTGCTGAGATTACAAGTGCAAGCCACTATGCCTAGTCAATTTTTTTTATAACTAATGTTTTCTTTTTAATGTCCATCTTGGAATGCTGCAGCCAAAAACCCAGTTTGGAACCTTGGGAGTCCAATTAGTAGGAAACACAGGGGTATTTGTAGTGCAACAACTTTTTATGTTCGTTTTATGATAGATTCCATGTGGCTTAAATGGGCACCTTTTTGATTTGGGGGTTCATTTCTAAGATCCTCATGGGTGGCATATTCTTGGTTGGATCCAAGGTATCAAAGCAGTGTGGTCCAAGGACTATAAGAAGACTTCTCTACAAGCACAAACCAACCACATTTAAGTTTCTCTTTAATCTACTCTGGTTTGAAACTGTCTCCCACTCTCTCCTAGAGTCTGCTCCAGGCTGGTAGGGTGAGGTCTACCATAGCCGCTGGAATAGGAAGAGAAGATAACTTTTCTCACCCTTTCTCCTAGTCTGAGCTCTAGAGAAGAGAAACTGGGGAGGAGACAACCCTGCTTCCCTAAACACATTCCCCCAAAGTGTCAACTTTTCAACACTTTTTTATTGGCGTGATGGATGTTAGATCATGAAGACGTTAAAATAAGCATGAGAGAAACAATAAAGAAGATAACTGAGGAGCATTTTAAATAATATGCTCACGTCTTCCCCTTCAACTCCTTGTATTGTAGTTTTGAAGTATCATTCCTGCTGATCTCTGGGTCCAGAACCTACTTTGTTTTCTGATCTAAGGTTCTTTCCAAATTTTTTGACCATCACATTCCTAAGAACCGCAACCAGGTGTGAGCATTAGGAGCACTGGAAACAGCCCCAAGTGGTCACCAAAGTCTATGTAAGGCTCGTTTTGTGATTATATAGGTAAAATTGTCCCTGACGTACGTCAAAAATAAACGAAGCCAGTTACTAGGCAAAGTGGTAGGGGTGGATTTTAACCAATGATACTACTGCAATAGGAGAAACTGTCTAGCGCGAACTTAACTCCATTGCAATTCGTACAGAGATGACTGGGTTTAGTTTTATAGAGAGAATGAGGGAACTGGG